ACTCTGCGTGGACTTGTGCATGACTTTAAAGGCCGAATATGTTGTACTACATTTAACTTGCACTTCATATAAATTATTGATGTATTTGTTTGATTAATAAATATACTAATAAAGAGCTTCTTTGTAAGCACACCTGCTAATAAAATGGAGGAAAGCTAAATGTATTCATAGTAACTGTAATAGTATAAAATTCTTATTTCGCACACCAAGTATGTTTATATGTCTGTGTTACCATTAGGAATGAAGATCGAGATGATAGGAACCGAAAGGCATCTTATGACGTCAAGGAAGGGACCACAGACTGTGAAGACTGGTCAGCTTATATCGCTGTACAAAAATGTGTTTTGATTTTTTTTTGTAGTTAAATGCATCCTCTTGGCTAAAGGCACTCTCTCGCTTATTCTGCACAGTCCTAAGCCCACGTTGGAGGAGGTGCACTCATGGGGGCAGTCGTTTGACAAGCTGATGTGCTGTCCAGCGGGGAGAAACGCTTTTCGACAGTTCCTTCGCACTGAGTTCAGCGAGGAGAACATGCTTTTCTGGCTAGCCTGTGAGGAGTTCAGGAAAGAGACCAATAAGAGTATGATAGAGGAGAAGGCTCGGGTCATCTACGAAGACTACATCTCCATTCTATCGCCTAAAGAGGTCAGAGAGCTTTGATTTAATCGTTTTGCAAATATTAGCGACCTGTTCGAACAAATACTGAAAGTATGTGTGAGTGTGAGGGCGCATCTAGAACATCTAGAAACAGCAGCACACTCCTTACATATTGAGCTTTAAACATCTAGTGATATAAACTGTTAGCGTTAGGCAAAGGTTAGCCATTTCCCCTTGACTCCAGTCTTTGTGCAAAGCTAAGTTAACCAGTTCAAAGACTGTATATAAAAGATGGATGCAGCCTTTGGCTCTGAGTGGCTAAGAATGAAAAAATGAGCCTGTTTCTTTCTTCCTGTTTGGACACTTTCTTAATGCACTTCCACTCTTAATCACTAGTTTAGATTCTTTTTGTTATACAGCATGGTGTTCATTTTGTAACTTATTGTCCCCTTGGGGAAAATATCAGTACAGAGAATACAGAACAATAAGCCACTACTGCATGATTGTAAAGGTTTCTTGGTTTTACTGGTGTGATCCATGCCTTGAATAAGCCTGCTAGATGGTGACAGCTGCTAGATGGTGACAGCCAAAATGCTCCACTGGAGGCTTCAGCGAGTGACTGCACAGAGCCCTAGTCCATCTTTTCTTTACAGTCTATTAGCTTTCAGGTCGTCATCAAATTTTCAGTCGTGAAGCAAACAGTGACATTTCTCAAGGTTTTGTCGCACAAAAAGAGCACACGCTGTTCTTCCCTAACGGGCTATTCTCTCGACTCCCAGGTGAGCCTCGACTCCCGTGTGCGCGAGACGATTAACAGGAACATGCAGGAGCCCACATCGCACACCTTTGACGATGCCCAGCTGCAGATCTACACACTAATGCAAAGAGACTCGTATCCCCGCTACATGAACTCCCCAGCCTACAAAAACCTGCTCAACACCCTGTCAGAGCAGTCCCCTGAATCTTAGGGTGGTGATGACCTGTGATCTTTTAACTCTCTTTACCCCTCTCCCAGACCGTACCCCCCTTTTTAAAAATTTTTTCTTTGTATGTTCAGTGTAGGATTACATGAATCAGGCCTCGGGCCTGTCCCCTCCCAGGGATCTCAGCGCTATTGTGATCTGCACCTGACTGAAGACACTCAGGTCTTAAAATCTCCCGAGGGCTTGACATCACAAGTACTGCTACAGATCAACAAAGCAAAACACTCCAAAGGAATATGAATACATTTTAATTCTTTTGTTTTTCTTTTTCTTTCTTTTGATAGAAATAATCTATTTTATTTGTGTTCAGAGTTTTTTATGGTCTGTTGTTTTTTGTATGATCGTTTGGGGGGAAAATGATTCCTACTGTAGACTATATATTTATGAGTTTGTAAATAGTAAAAATGGAATTGTGGGTATTTTATGTGGAAACGCCTGGTTCTATTTCCTGCGTACAAAAATCAAAGCTCAAGTCAAAGGCTACACGTTAGCTCTACTTGCAGGCAGCTTTGTGGGGTACTGTACTGATTTTACCTTGTTTTCACCCCGTTTGGTCCCCTAACCTCACACTTCAGTACCTGTGACAGCGACTTGGCAACTCCAGTTCATGTAGAACCTGTGCGTGATTGAGAAATACTGTAAGCGTGGCGATCAGTGAAGTAACAGAAAGTGACAACAGCTCTTGTCACGGCGTGCAATTCGTTTCCTTAAGAAACTCAAATCAACGATGGAAGGGTGTTTTAACTTTTGTTACTTGAGCTTAACCACAAAAGATTGCCTGTCTAAGATGTTTATTTGAATTCAAGTGTTATTCACTGCACACCTCATAGGTTTATTATAGTTTTACAAGTGTGACATAAGTAATTCTATTTACCAGATGAAGTATTTTTTATTTATTGATGTATACAAACAACACAGAAAAACAAGTACAAATCATATTTAAAGTCCTGTGATGGACCAAACTCTACTAAGCTGTCAAAAAAACTTTAAATAATGTTATTTTTAAAGAGTATATGGCTCTGTTTTATAGGTCTGTAATTTCCTAATAACGTTCCAGAAGGTTTCCTTGAAGGTACTCTAATTTGAGACTAAATATAAGGAAAATTATTCCATCATTTAAACCCAAATAAATATGAATTCCTATTGTTGTAAGGCCTAAACAGCTGGAATGGAATCTGTTTTCACGCTGAGTGTAAGAAGATTTATGATGCTCTTAAGTTTTAAATCTAAAGCTTTTCATTCTCAATTTCCGCTTAAGTATTTGCTCGTATTTATTTGACTTTCTTCTCAGGCTAACTAGACTTTATTCAAAGTCATTTCTAGGGAACCTTCTGGAATACACTTTGAAATTACCAAAAAATCACTATTTAAGATTACATAGCTCGTCTATGATATATAATTTGACATGATTATCAGTGACAGTAGGTTTCCGGCCAGGTTAGCAGCAACACCAAAGCTACCATGTAAACTGTGCTCATACGTTTTATCGAGAGTGTTTCACTGAGTAAAATTGGAGTTGCCAAGTGTTTAATACTTTTATGTACTCTAATAGTTTTAGTTGAATTACTTTGTTGCCTCACAAACGTGTCACTCAAAGACAAGATCCTCACATGGGGAAGTGCCTTGACATTCAGTTTTACGACATCTTTCTCATGGGCAGCGGTTACTTTCAAACGCTTGCCGTAAGCGTGGTTACTGGAGCGTGAAGTCAGTTTACTGGAAATTGTCCCTTTCATTGGCCAAAATATTAAGTGTTTTGTCTTGATTTCTTAGTCGTGACTACATCTGTTCACTTTGGTAGGGCAGAGGCTGACGACAGCACATGTCAAACAAAGATTGGCGGACAGGCCGGTTGATCTGAACTTCTTACCAACCTGCGTGCAATCTGAGTTGATGGGTTCACTGCGCGGATCAACCTCAAAACACAACCTAAGTCAGTGGTTTGGAGTGATGCCTATAAATGTTTCTTTCTTTTCTGTTTACTATATGAAATGTGTTATTTTGCGCTGAGTTTACTGAAGAATACATTTTTAAAAAAAATACAAATAATGTGAATGTTTACAGTAAATGGTTGATTTTATTTTATTTTTTCTGCTACTCTTCGAGAAAATAATGACTTGTGGGCATTTCGATTAAGATAAAATAAAGCACAATAATTTTACTGACTCTGGAATGATTTAATCAGCAAACTGCATGACACCAATATCAGTAAAATGTGTCAGGAAACGACTTTAATAATGTCCTAACAGCAAATTCAACCAACTCAGTTAGTTCACTGATAGGAATGGAAGAATTCTTTCAGTACATCTGCCCCTGTGTAAGTTTGAGCAGTTTAAATTCATGATTCTTATAAAAATAACGCAGATCAGGTGAAATCCTAATTAAGAACATTTAAAATCATAAGTAATGAATTCTGTGAACTCCTTGAAATACACGGTAACGTTCACATGAGCACAACATGTCAATTAGAATTAAACAAAAACAGTTTAACTTAAGTGCGCAGAGGATTGTAGCAATATGCAGTTACTTGTGTACCACACTATTTTGAAATGCTTTATAAACTTTGAAAAGTTCATACTCTTTCAAGCCACTTAACCCTGATCTGTGAAACATAAAAGCAAGAGATGAACCAGTGTTGTGTTGTTGTGTCTACACATAACAGACAACCTAGCATAGAACCAATTTTAAGTTCTATATTTAGGTACAAAGGTAACATAGTTTGACAGGTACAAACACTCTGTTAAACCCATTTAATTAAATAAATAAGATAAATTCTACTTAACTCACACATTGACAGTTTGATTTAAAATTCACTGTCTAAAATTTTATGGACCTAATTGTAACTATATAGGAATATTTTGCTGTGTCTGAATTTTATACAGGGAGCTTCTTTCATAAAAATGGTCATCGAATTCACAATAAAAAAAAAAAAGTTGTTTCGTCAAAGGTTCAATTAAAAAATAAATAAGAACGTGAGATAAAACATATAAAGAAGTGTAATGTCTACCACCAGGCCTTCCTCAGTTTTAGCCTTTTTCAATGAATAAAAAAAATCTTAATCTTGTATTACTGTTCACTTTATGTGGTGGTGAAGCAGCAGAACAGCCCATCAACATAAAGTGGTTACACCTGGCTATTTCAAAAAAAAAACAAAAAATCCTGGAGGAAGCCGAAAACAATTGGTGCATCTTCCCTTCTCCAGCCAACGATATTATCCTGTCCCTGGATGGATTAATATGCATACATCAGCATTCGCTTTGATGTGATGAATATTCCATCAATTACAAATGTATACTCTGTAACACACACACACACACACACACAGAAGATGTCTGTTCTCTCAGATCCGACCTGCTTAGTATAATTTTAAAGATTTAAATAACCAGAAGAGACTGAAAACCCATCATAAAAGACAGCTAATGAAAAGCAGCTCTTTTTAATCAAATGGATTACACTTTATTGGGAAATTAAATAAAACAATGCAATGTTGTGAGGGGGAAGCAAAACAACATTGTCCAAAGTGTTAAAACTACATATAAAAAATGCAGATAAAAGAGCATGATAAGATCCATCGCATATATCTGACGGTGAGAAACAACTAATAACGCTAGTAAAATAATTTTTAGGGGAAGGAGTTGAGGGAACCAACAATGAGCTCAATCTATTAACAAGATATTTACTTAAACAATAACCGCAGTGGCATCTTTGTATGGCATGTTGTGTACCATGTACCACAGAATAGAAAGCTCCAATCTGTTGCAGATAGACAGAATCTGGTCCAGGAATTTTGCTACTTGTAGGAGTGCCGTGGATGATGCCGCAGATTCAGCAGAACTAGAACAAAAAAAATTTATTATAATAAAAATGATCAAATAAAAAAAAAAAAAAAAAAAAATCATGGGATAGGATTTTTTGTTGTTGCAACACTGATCTTCAAGTTACAACCAAGCAGATAGAAGGCAGAGTCATGAGTCTTCTTCTTGGCCATGGCATTTGTTTATTTAAAAAATAAATTAAAAAATAAATAAATAAACAGAGCAGAGGGCACCATAAGCATACCTTTAGAGCAACAAATTGCAATAAAAGCAACAACAGCTTCACACACCAGATATGTGTGCACTGTGTATTTAGTCACTATCACACATTCAATTAACATACACGTCGAGCAAGTGCGGTCTTTGCAGACCCCGCAGTCATGGAAAATCTATTCCCATGGATGGTCGGCTGAGAGTCTGACCTCTACAAACAGGCCCTTTTAGATTTTAATCAACATGAGCCTGAATGTGGCATCAATTAGCCGTTTTTCTAAAGGTACCTGACAAACAGATAAATGCTTTCTTTAATCATTTCGAACTGGCTAACATAATAAAATATCTTTCATCTCCTTTCTTTTAAAGGAAAAATATCAATATAATTTGAGACCAAGAACTTGGGAAGACTTAATTACTAGTATACCCCAAACCTGTATTACATTAATAACATAAGCAGGACTGAGGCTTAAAAGTGTAAATTTGAAAATAAATGTTTTGCTAATTTAACACCAAAAGACAGCTACTCTGTTTCCGTGACCCAAAAGATGGAACAAAACAAACAAAATATTGACATCAGCATTACGCATCTGCCAAACTGTATCTTTAACCATTTGACTGGTTCCACAACTGGTACATCTCTGCTGTAAACGAGCTTAGTGCACTATCTAAACTTCTATCGCTGAAGTTTAAGTCTGATGGAAGTCTACAGGCTAATGCATTCCAAGACTGACTCAACAAAACCTGCATTAGGGCACATACCTTCCATCTATTTCCACATTCATTGCAGAAGACAAACGTGGTCATTGGCTCATCAGCACTGCGAGTTTGAACCTGGGAAAGAAAACGGAAAAAGAAAGTCACTTAAAATCATAGACTACTAAATCAGCGTATGCTCTATCAATACCAATATACATGGCTTTATCAGATTTCACATTGTCTGAACAAATTAAATAACTACAACCTCCACAAAGACCTCTATAGGCAGCCTGCATATCCATACCTGTGTGTAGGTGCAGCTCTTTCCCTTGCATTTGCCGCAGGTGAACAGATCAGTCTGAGTGCCCCCAGTGGTGGCCATCTGGTGGTCCCTGACAGCCTCTTTGGTCAAATTCTTCCTCATTTCCTTCAGCTCATCACTGGCCATTTCCTACAGCGGTGGAAAAAATAAGAAAGAAAGAAAGAAAGGAAGGAAGGAAGGAAGGAAGGAAGGAAGGAAGGAAGGAAGGAAGGAAGGAAGGAAGGAAGGAAGGAAGGAAGGAAGGAAGGAAGGAAGGAAAGAAAGAAAGAAAGAAAGAAAGAAGGAAAGAAAGAAGTGCCAATAAGTGTTTAAGTAAACTAAATCTGCTATCGTGAGAGAGCGAAATATATAATTAGTGACAATTACTAAGGGCACTGTTTGTCTCTTGAGATTGTGCCATCAACAGCTCACACACCTCTGCGGTCATCTTAGCCATCCGCTCAGGGGTTACGCTCCCGCACAGCACGGTCCTCCTTAAATTCGGGTTCTTCATATCCTTCAGATTTGAGATTCGGCTCCTCACGCGGTTCTTATATTTCATGTCTGTGTTCTTAAACTCTTGGAAGATGCGTAATTGCAGGTCAAAGAATTCAACTTCACCAATGAATTTATATAATAATAACAAAAAGAAATCCCCGGCCTTTCAGGTGGCTTAGTGCTGATGCTTCTAGTCGATTATTAGAGTGGTTAATGTAGTCATTTATCAAGCATGCCTACCGTTCTTTGTTTTAGGTTCTCCAGTGTCTCTTTATTTGTGTAACACGCTATAATTAAAGGGTGCTAGTGTTCAGACAAAACAAGTGATTCAAAAGATGAAAGGCACAATGTGCTCATTTATATCACCAGCACCAAAATACACAACAGACACTGAGAAGACAGTAGCTATATCCAGAACATTATGAAATAACAAAACTCTGCCTCTAAAGAGTTCAATCAGAGGGCAGAGATAGCTCAGTAGGTAGCGTGGTCACCCCATAATCGGAAGGTTGGGGGTTCAAATCCACCGAACAGCTACCCTGAGGTACCCCTGAGCAAGGTACTGTCCCTACACAGTGTTCCCCGGACACCTGATTAGTAATTTCCCCACGGGGATCAATAAAGTATACATTATTATAATGTAAAGGATATATTCTTCAATCTGTGCTCCAAGTTCGTCACAATCAGCACCAATAGCGATATAATCATCTGTAAAGGAAAAAGTATCAGGCAGTGGACAAAAACAAAGAGTAAGAAAACACAATTACAGATAAGTGCTTTGGAAAGTTTGTGATATTAACGTTTCAGATTACCTCCAGTCTGCAGAGCGCTTGCTAGCATCTCTCTACACTTAAGCCTGATGGAGTCAGAGGTACTCGGGGCACGAGGAAAGGTGTTGATTAATGTGTTGGGAGCAACTTCACTGGGTTCACTCTTGCTGCTGGAATTGCTGCTGGAGCTGCTATGGGAGCAATAAGAAGTGTCATAATCAGTTCTGAAGCAAAACACACTTAGAAGCAGAAGATATAGTAGGTGCTTTCAGCTGCTAACTTATTTCCCAAGGACTCATCACAGTGGATGGATCTAAATGTCTGATGTGATGCTGACTTTACACCAGATGCCCTTCCTGAGGCAACTCTCCCATTTATCCAGGCTCAAGGCTTGAACTATGAGTACACTAGCTTAGCTGAGGCTTGGTTTATATCTTCTCCAACTCCTAAGTATGAAAGATGTATTCCAGGTGTACACTAAAATGGAGAGCATTGCTAAAAGCGTGCATGAGGAAAAAAAAGTTTTCCTTATTACCTTTCTTCTTTTGCCTCTGGGCTTCCTTGTGAAGGAGAGACGACAGGCGTTGATTGTTCTTTCCTCTTCTCCTCTGAAGCTTTATCTCCAGCTCCTGGCTCATCTGGAGAATGAGTGAGAAGAATTAAGAAGGCATCAGAATCAAGGAAGTGAGAGGTGAAGGGAAGGCCATTCCAGAAGCTTAATGTTAGCCTGCTTTATCCATCCCAAAACCAGTTATGATGTGTTTTTGGGTTCACTGTCCTGATGGAACACCCAACTGTGTCCAAGTTTCAACCATAAAGTTGTTGATTTGGGGTAAAGTTGCAAATTTTGGAGGCAGCTCTGCTTCATAATTATGCCATCAACTTTGTGCAACGTACCAGTAGCACTGACAGCAACTGTAGCATTATGCCCCAGAGCATAATGCCACTCCCACAATGTTGCTTGACAGTGTTCTTAGGCTTAAAAGCCTCACCTTTACTCCTCCATTCATACCTCATCATTTTCGACAAGGTATTTGGTTTGTCAATGTGGGCAGCTGCAAATTTCAGTTGAGCTCGTGTTGTTTCAAGTTCGGAGCAGTTGCTTCTTTCTTTGTTCTCATCTTCTCAGAGGACTGAGAAGGTGAGAACTTCTCTAAAACTTGCTTCACTGTCGAGTGAACACAATGGTGTTTCCAGCAGTTTCCAAAGCAGGCTTGAGGCTTGGTGGTTCTTATTTGAACTGATAATTTTAGAACCTGTTGTTGTTTAGAGGAGACGTTCCCAGCTGAATAAATCTACAAATCTCCTTCTTAGATCTTCACTGAATTCCTTGGAGTTAGTTTTGAGTATTGCAGAGTCTGATGAGTCCTGTAAAACAAATCATTTTTATACTGGCAAAGACACACTACCAGTTGTAGTTATGAGCGTGCAATCAATCATGATCACTATAGGCCTTGTCAAATTAAAAAGACATTGCAGAAGCTTCAGCATGTTTTAAAAGATTTGAGTGTATGTATATATTTGAGGCTGTATTTGACCCGATGTGTTTTTACCCTATGTGGATGAAAGAAAATCCAAAATAAATTCAAACTTTTACACCCAATTTTTTTGTTTTTGATTTTTCTCATTAAAAAGAAATAAGAAAAAGAAAAGTTCAAAGAAATGACTAAAAGCCCAAAATTACCATCACATTCATGCCCTTGACCACAAATGCAGCCAGCCATAAAACATAAGGAGCCTTTCACATCGGACGCAGCATGGGCTGCAATTACCGCTAACTAGAGCAAAGAATCCAAAATTTGTGCGGTTGTGTCATGTGGTTGAACTGGCGCAGCAGTAGGCTTCGTTTCTACTGGTCGTTCGCACAACCAACAGAAACATCACAGTGCGCTGCAGATGAAGATGACCATGGCATGCGCAAGTACTGGCACGCCTTGATTTTCGCAGCCGGAAATGAATGGGTTTCAGAGCACAGCACTGTGCGTGCCGCATCCAATGGGAAAGAAGGTATGCAATAAGAATGGAGGAATCAAGCCAGATTAAACAAAATTAATATTACGTTGTAATTTCCCTTAAAGCGTAAACATAAGGCTGGGAAATGAGTGGCCTATGTATCAATAATCATTATGACATTCTAAACGGATAATAAACAAAAAACAGTGAAACTCAAAGAGAAATCCAGATTTAGGTATAGATCCAATTATAATAGAAAAGACACATTCAATCCCCTGCTGCGGTATTGATTTCACTTTACAAACCACAAACTCTTTAGGCATTTAGAAAAAGAATAAGTATTATGTCTATTTTACACCTCAATAAAAACATCTCTTCTCTCTAATCTTCTCTGGCTGATGCTTGTCTTTACTCAAATCTTCACTCAAACTGCTGGCTGCTGTTCATTTGTTTGTGCTGCTGAACAGCTCACTTACTCACAACTCCGTGGGTTGAGAATTGGTGTCAGCAATTTATAAAAAGAACAAGAGGACATTTTTGACAGCTGGTGTACCCGGCAGAGTGCAATGTGTTACAGTAAAAAAAAGGGGGGGGAATTCAAAATTGGCTCGATTTCATGAAGATCGATAGGCGTTGATACAAGCATGCCTAACAGCTTTAGACATGCAAAAGATATCTCCAAGTACATTATAGAAGACAAAAATAATAATTACCCAAAAGCTTCTTCCATGACTTGATCAAGGATTTTGCAAGAGATGTAACCTCCTCGTCTGTGCTTTGTTTACGGATGGCATTAACGGACATCCCGATTCTGGTAGACTGTGGAAAAGACATGGTGTCAGAGCATCTGGGTTTCGGCGCTGCCTGTGTCCAGGACAGAGCCAGAGAACATATGAGCAATGATACCTGCAGCAGCTCCAGCGTCATGGGGATACTACGCAGCTCCTTCAAGAGATCCAAAGCTCCAGCCTGCAGAATAAAGCGGAGGGATGATCATTTAGACCATAACACACTTTTTGTTTTCTCTAAACTGATTACTCAGCTCTATCATCAACATGAGTAAGACCAGAGCTGTGTTTAGCCACAAGAAAACATAGTAAAACAAAAAAGGAAAATGTGGTGCTTCGAACATCCTGCTATGTTATGGAAGCTTGTGCTAATGGCAGCTCATTCAACACTCTGCACTGTCTCAGTAATATGGCAGGATCTATACACATGTTACCGCTGATACATTTGCACATCTGGCACAAACACCAAGAGCAAAAATTTGTTAACACCTTTTGGCCACTTTTAAATAAAAGACTAGTTAAAAGACAAATGTTGTTCAAACTGGCAGCTTCTTTGGATTCAATCTACTCCAGATTATACGTAATTTAGGAATCCTTAGATATGGAAGCTGAGCAGCAACAGTCTGAACAACTGATACTGGCCTTTCAGCCTCGTCTGCCTTTAAAAAGTAAGATGACACATCCAGGTTATTGTGACCAGTGTTTATCTTTTGGGTCACATCATCGGAGGTCCAGGTCTGCCGAGTAAAGCCACTGTGCCCCATTGGCTAAATTATTCTGATACCATTTAAAATGTAAGTTACATTAATGAAAAACGTATCCACCTATATGACTAACTGCAGTGCAAAGTTAATTATTCAGTCAACATTATTTTGGTGCTTCTGCAGCAATTGTGGTAACTGGTTTGACTGAGGAAGACACTGAGCAGATTGGCCTGTGCAGGTCAGACTTTGGGCACTACCCCTCATGTCTCTTTGAAATTAAATGTGTTAAATGTGGTAGGCAAGAGACAGGGCAGGACATCTGCTAAACGAAGACTGTAGCTAGATCTCAGCTCTGCTAGAGTAATCTCATTGAAGCATGTGCAACAGATTGCCTTTATTATTATTACTAATAATAGTATTAATAATAGTAACACCAGAGGAACACTGTCCATTTACCATTTAAACAAACAAAAGCAAAGTGAAGGGGGGGGGGGGTCATATTTTGGATTTAAGCCTGAAGTACTTATATTAAGCAGATAGAAAAATGTACAATTGCTTTGTCAGTGAACTGGGAAAAAACAGAATAATAATAATAATAATAGTAATAATAATAATAATAATAATCTTAATGGAAATCTATTTTCTTTGCATAACAAATGAGATATGTTATTGTTAAATAGTGGAAAAAATAATTTTATGGTATTTTACTCAAACAGAAACCAAAAATATGTAGAACATGCGTGTATCCAGAAAACAGTAGGGTTATGAATGGGGTAAGCTTTTACAAAATTTTGGAGGTTTCACACTCTAAATTTTAGGAGTCATAATGACAAATTGCTTTTAACAAATTCATGTAATTGTGTTGGGTTATTTGTCAAAGACATTTTAATTTTATTTGATGTTATCCTACTTATTTTGAGAAATTACAGACTTTACAAAAGAAAGTTATACAAGCTACAAATTGGTCCAAGCTCAAAACCTTTTTTAGGGGTATAAACTTCTGAAGTTTACTGAATCTCACATTTTTTCAAATTCTCGTTTAACATAAAATGTAGTATTTAAACTCACTGACAGACTATATGAGCCTATCCCAATATACACTTCCTTTCGCACACACAACACACAAGAAAAACAGCTCTTGAGGAGAAACTCTGTATAGTAAGCATTTTTAATAATAGACCACCCCTCTAAATTTTAATTAAGCACAAGAGAAATCATACTATTTTCATGTGCCGTTGGATTAGTGTAATTATACTTCAGGATAGGGTCATTTTAAGATATTTTCAGTGATCATGTACGCTGGGCATCGTACACGTATTCTGTCTATATTATCTGACGTTTAGGCTCCTATTTATAAGCTCTGTGCGGAGTACCATTTCACAATTGACTTGAAACTATGAAGCTAACTCTTTCCTTACACTATGATGGTAATCTCTTCCAATCTCCCGACTTTCATTTTTTGGGGGATTCTAGATTGTATGTTGGACTGTTAAAGTCTTTTGATTACATTATCTTTTACACTTTAAGGTTCCGTTTATTAATCGAGGAAATAATCAGCAGATTAACGGATAATCATTAGCTGCAGCTTTGTTTATGTTTATGCAATGATGCTTGGACTACAGGAGCGGCAGCTTGGTAGCTAACAGTTAGCCAATTAGCTACTAAGAAACCTCCCCCAAACAAGCCCGAAAATGAAACCTAACCCGAAGGATAACAGAACAATATCACTCTATTTTGTTTAACGATTTGATATTCAGTCATTAAATTAGCTAAAAGTGACCAGATCTAGAATTGTATTATTACCTTGCGAGGCCATAAAGCTGACAGCGGTTAGTAGGATGCTACGTGGCTAAGTCCTAGCAACATAGAAACCTGCCATTCACATAAACAGACTCGCAAGGGAGCTAATTAGCGGCTAACCCATTAGTCATAACAACAGGTAGGTTAGCTTTGGAGCTAATTGCTGAGGGCAAGGACCGGAAAACCATCGTCAGCGGAACAACACAACAGTGCAGAATTTTTGTTGACAACTTTGGGGTTATTTAGCACACGTTGAGCCCGATCCTGACTGGATTTTCCAGTTAGCGCTCATGTTAGCTACACCATCAGTCAGATCGGCATTCATTCCCTCACACACATCTTACCCCGTTTTTCTTCTGCGCCATTTTATCGATCTTCTTCGCAATTCTGATGACCTCCTCTTCTTCCTTTTTGCCCATGGTGACCGAGCTGGTAAAGTCCAAATGAATTAGAACCAAGCCAGAAACTAAATTTGCCACAAAGACCACGCCACTGAACAGAAAGCAGCGGCAGTGACAGCTAGTCGGCGGACCGGGACCGCACACCGACCGCAGCAGACCTGACTAGTAGATGCACGATGAGCTCAAGGGAACTCAATCGACATGCAACCTTCTGGAAGTCTGATATCCCAGAACAGCTATCACCTAGACAATTTAATCAAAGAGGAGACTTTCCGAATACCGAGATAAAACTATATTTCATAACATCTGCCAATTTTATCTTCGTACAAAGCCTGGATTTTTTTTTAATCAGCATGGCGACCTGTCGTTAGATAGCGCCAAAGTGCCATCCGGATCTAGGTTCACAATCGGAGACAATCCAACTTGACCAACAGCCTAAACACTCCGGCTTTATGTTTTCACAAAAACAGTCACTCACACAACAGGTTACTGTCCAGAACTTACACAATTCATAAGTTGTAATCGCTTTGTATTTTCTAGTTAGTTCTAGTTTTGTTTTTTGTTTGTTTTCTGTTTGTTTCGATGTATTGTTTTTGAGGCAGTTCACTTCATTCAGTTTCCAGAGCAGGTTTGCTCGTTTCAGTTTAGTTTTTATTGTGTAAAAATGTTTATAGTTTTAGTTCAGTTTAAAATAGTTTCAGGGTTAGTTTTAGTCCATCAATACGTCACTAGGCAAGATCTGGTAACATTTTCTTTTTACCAAACTAACAAATACTAAAACCTCTTATATTTCTCTATATTATTATTATTGTTATTATTAATATTATTATTATTAGCTAGTTTTCCAAATTTACAAACTAATTTCAATTAGTCTTAAGTGTTTTCAATTTTCCATTCTTTTTTATTTTAGTTAGTTAAATAGTTTTTTTTTTTCAATAATAATAATAATAATAATAATAATAATAATAATAATAATAATAAGTAACTGACATATATATTACTGTATATTACTGGCATCAGAAACTCAGTTCAAGCTAAAAAACTAAAGTTACACAAGACAGCTGCCATTGTGCAGGAGGCAAGGTACACCCTGGACATGTTGCTAATCTATTGCAAAGCTATTGTGGAACCCGCCTAGGCTATATTTTTAACTAGACTTCATATTTTTGAGTTTCATTGCCCTGCTTTACCAGTGTGTAAGTTTACTGACTCATTGCATGTGTTCATATTTGGTCAACAAAGCTCATTCTAATAGATCAGAAAAGAAAGTTGGCATCTGACCTTTTGGATATAAAATGTAATGATGTTATCCTATTAGACATATGTGTGAAACCAGGTGAATTTGGCATAAAAAAAAAAAGCAGACAAAAAATCAGAAAGATCCAGCTTGTTCATCCTTAAGTGCAAGTATGTGTTTGTACAGATTCCTTCAAGGGATAGGATACAATATGAGGAATATTTTATTTAAAAGTTAGGAAAGGATTGAAATAAATAATTTACAGGAGAATGTGACAGATAGACAGGCATTATGAAGACCTTTGGCCACATCTGTCACCACTGCAGAGGGTTAAAACAATGTCACAGTTTGCTGGACTAAGTGGAATTGCAGAGTGGTGGTGTCATGGCTTCATTGTAAGCTGTGGTTTGGGAGCTTAAGTTCATGTGAAAACACAGATGCTGCCATCTTGTCAAGCGGTTAAAATATACAATATCTATTAGATTTGCCCCAAGCAGTGGTGAATAATGTATTACTGAGTGTAATTAAAAGCCCATGAAAGAGCCCCTGTTTTTCTGAAGGAATTATTAGATGGACTTGGGCTTTTGAAGAAGGCACGACTGTTGTGTAGTTCAAACTTGTAACCTTTGAGGACCACAATCCAGGCCACAGTGATGGCAGACTGTTGATCTTACACAGTGACACGACTGACTTGCTAATTTGGATCCTTGTAATCCAAAGAGACCAGCATGTGACATTACCACCTAATGACTGAAGGTTAGGCAAACACTGCAAGCACTCTGAATAATTTAACAGAGAATGTGCAATACACTGGTAGCTACAGTACATACAATGTAGAGTATATAGCAAAGAGAAGTTAAATGCTAAAATTAGTGCTAAAAGCCATGTAGTTTGCAAGAGAAATGAGGTAATGAAAAATAATTGTACTTATTTACATTTATTTACACAGAAAATGTAATGGATTAATCCTGACGACTTACACATGTCCTTTCTTCACCACCACTGTCTCCATCTTCTAGGATGGTACACGTTAGCAGGAGATATGAATGCCTTTTATTCAGTCGGGGCCAGTTAGGAATTGGCATACCGTATGGGAACTGTAGTACAGTGACACAGCTCTCGACTCCTGATGCATGTGCTCGAACATTAGCTTCTCTCCCAACGGCCAAAATTCAAAATCCACAACATGCATTTGGATGAATTGCCCCATCCAAGTGTAGATACAATGCTACAGATTTCCCCACTTTCTTGTTTATTTACTAAAGCCCCGCTGCACAAACTGCATGAACTCTAAATACTGATGCATCATGTGTCCTGATGGTGGATTTTCAATACCTGCTGTGAGGTAAAAGTGCTCTCTAAAGACTTTATTCTACCTCACGCTGTCAGCAGCGCGCAAAATCTTTAACCTAATCCCTATTAGGCGAAGACCTCTCAAATCTGATTAGACAGACTGCTTGCAAATTAGAAATAGTCCAAGCCACCTGTGGTATCTGTTGGAAGAGGCAAACACTCACTAATATCATTTAAACTGGAAAGCAGGAATACTTTCATTTCCCACCATCTTCTTCATTTATTTCTTATTCTGGTACTTACTAGACCCTTCTCTGAGTCACCCAATATTTATTACTTTGTCTTTAAGTGCAAATAAGGAAAAGGAGAGATGAGGTATTTATGGCCAATAAGGCTGAGAAAACCTTATCGCCGGTAAATATGGCCAATAAGATCATTTCTGTATTGTAAATGGAGATTTCCTACTGGAAATAATACAAAATAAGCTATTCGATAAATATATACATGTATATCCCACACTTTCTCTAATACAATAACATAATCATTTATTTACTTCCTTACAAATAAAAGCATTCTCTTCTAGTCCTCTGTGGTACACTCTCTACGTATTTTCGCGTTTTTGCTGCCTTATGTGCTGATTAAGTGTGAGCAAAGATTAGGCAAATTGGCCATGATGTTGCACGTCCTAAAATAGCCCTCGAACGCTGCTGAGAGGCTTTGACCAGCGCTCGGAGGAGCAACAGATACACGCTTTCTGTTGTTTTAGCTGTTATTATTAGGATAAAATGGGAACTATCCGGTAAGATTTTGTTTGTTTCATCTATCGGCATGTTTGCTAATCCAGTCAGTCATTTTAATGTGTTTCAAGTGGGTTGTCTGATCTAGTGTATGGGTGGGGTGTGAAGGGCCTGTGTTTACGTTCACTTTGACTTGCTGATCACAATGTTGTTTGTTTACTGTTTATAAGTTATAAGTTACAACACATTATTCATCATCATTTCCATGCGATCTTTACTGTACACTAATATATGTATCTTCTATTGATGAGAGCAACAAAGGCTCTGAAGTACAAATGGTGCTCTTTCAATGTGTCTTTTTTTAAATTTTAGATAGTGTTTATATTGACTTATAATATACAAATGTTTATATTGTATTATCATATTAATATAATCTAAATAAAGTTGCCAGTTTATTGGGTACACTTAGCTAAATGTAATTCAGTCTAACTGTCCTGTATTAAATCCTGTATTTGTGGAGTTTTAGCATGTAGTTTATGACACTGAACTCTGTTGCAGTATAACCAGAGGTGTTTCTATTACTTTGTTCGCCTTACATTAAAGTTGAAAGGTTTTCTCTGTAATGGATTACAGAATTTGCTCAGGAAAAATGATTATATTCTGCAGCCCTCTTTATGTACATTTGCAGTCAGTTTAGTTTCACTCACGACAACTTAAATGCATCCTAAAACCTACACACTGAAAAAATTCTAAAGAAAATGGTTTGTGGTAGTTTGATATTCATTTATTTCATTTTTTCATTATATTTCACATAAACAGCTAATCTCCTTTGCACTAAGCCAAAAGTGCAGTTTCCCTTTTACTATTGTATTATTTCTCTTATTGTCTATATTATAAGCAACTTTTATATATCTTGGTTTCATCAAATTAGAGAAAAAAAAGAATAAAAGCGACTTTGACTACACTGAAATGGCCTCTCTGTTCTCTTTTCAGTTCCCTCCAGACAGTATGAGCACTACACCTATCCAGGAACCCCCTACCCAGGGACTGTCCTCTGGGAGTGGGCAGACCTTACCCTCCCGACCCCTGCAGCTCTCGTCTGACCCTTCAGCTTCTAAAAGAGTATGTTTCTACAAAAGCGGTGACTATCAGTTTGGAGGGCATCGAATGGTCATCAATACCCGCACCTTTAAGACCTTTGATGCTCTACTGGATGTTCTTTCCAAGAAAGTGCCTCTGGCATTTGGAGTGAGGACTATCACCACACCCCGGGGGACTCACCTTGTTAAGGCATTAGATGACTTACATGATGGAGGTGCTTATGTGTGCTCTGACCAGAAACGTGTGAAGCCAATAAATCTGGATGAAGTGAACCGGCGGCAGGTACCTTGGAATACTACCAGACCACTCAGTGCAGGGCGACGGCGGCGGCGTCAAGGACTCAGATTTGGTCAGTTTGGCAGCAAGAATGAAACCATCAGGCCAGCAAAGGTCACTGAAAGGGTGGCAGTACGGACACCAAAGAGGCTTATGGTCATCAAGAACAGGGATCCAAGTGTTAAACGCACAATTGTTTTGCAGAGAAGAACAGCTCCAACATTTGATGCGTTGCTGGATTACCTATCGCAGATCCTGCAGTTCCCAGTGCTGAAACTCTACTCTACAGATGGCAGAAGAGTAAGTTCTCGATAAACTGAAAATAGGAATCATCACTAGTCCTGTGAAATGGGTAAAATTTCCAAAATAAATCTTTATGTCATCAGTGTTACATGTTACATGTTGCTATTTGTCCACGTTTTCAGTCTTTATCCTTTACAAACCAGATGTTTTTGCTAGTTTCTGAACAAAAGGGATGGAGGGATTTAAATCTCTGAAATACTGGATCACTCATGAGTTTTACAGAGCACAGTTCATTCTACTGGAGCCACAGAGGTGTCTCCCTCCACCCACACCTTCCTCACCCACATTGTTAGATCAGGAGCTCAGCGAGGAAAAAATCTGTCTAAAGGTGTGTGTTTGGATAGAAACAGATCGAGCTATGCACCTACTAGTATTGTTTTTAACTGCTATCTCTGTTTTATTATTGGAAAGCACTTTGGTCAACTTGTTGTTTTTAAAAGTGCTATATAAATAAAGTTGGATTGGATTGGATAGCATTGTTCTCAGATAGATACCGACAAATGTAGGGTGTTTTTCTTTTAAGTAAATGTAGCGCAGTTACATTTCATTTTAATCTCACTCTGCAATCAGTGAAAATAAATTTGTGCAATTGCCTCAGGATTGTAGGTGATTTCTAAAAGAAAGTTTTACGAGAAGAGAAAGGAGATAGAATTTGATGGTTCGAATATTTAACTATAACAGCCAAAAATAACACAAGCACATAGGCTTAGAACTTGGAAATGCATTTTTCATTGTCTATGTGGGTTTAAAAGGAGCAATGTTTTTGTGAATTTTAAATTGGCTCCCTGCTGTGTGAAACCTGTGTTTTCCACTTATTATACTTTCTATGTATAGCAGTAAGTATATTACTTTCTTTCCAAAGACACCTCAATCTATATTAAGCAAAGGTGTGTCTGCCTGGCACAAAACAAAGATGGAAAAAAAAAAAGCTACAGACAGACAGATATAAACAAATCTACAAAGTGGTTATCCACATTTTTTCAGTCTAATTACATGTTTAAGGTTGACTTTTTACTCTTGTGCTTGTGTTTGCCGAAGCAACTTGGGCTTCTGCCAGACTTTTAAACCACGACACAAGGTCAGGCGATCAGCTGATCAGTGGAGTCTTCTCAGTTGTCACGCAATCGTAGATACTCAAACATCCGATTATTCCATAGACATTTAACGTACCAAATTAATTCTCTCAGTACCTTTGAGATGATGAGGATAAAGTCTTTTAGTTTAAATGTTTTTTTTTGTTTTGTTTTTTTAATTAAAGGATTATTTGGCAAGAAATATTTAAATTGAGTTACTCAGGTTTTGAAAATGAAAAATATACACACCACTGTGTGTCATTAGAGATTATTTTGATGTATCTGTTACAAATCCTGATTCATTTTGATGGTAAGAAAAAAAGAGTGAAAATTTTAGGCTTTTATTTTTAATGATCTTTGAGATATTTGTGTTCAAACATCGCCTCTGATGGCATGAAAATAGGTTGATGGTTCGCTTTAAAAAAAATTATATTTAACCTCCTAAGACCCGAACTTTTCCACGGCGTGCATTTTAATTTCTCTTTCATATTTGGGCATATTGGGACCCGATGAATGTATAAACAAAGAATTACCAGATTTTTTTTTTAAACCTGATTTGTGTTTCTAAGAAAAATGAGAGCCACATATGAGGATATTCGTTTAAAATTTCAATAGAACAGTAGCAGTATAATGTCCTTGTAGGTGGATATCAGGCCCTTGTAGAGCAAAATTGAGTATTTTGGTCTAAATAATCCAAAATGTGATGTCCATATATGTGGACGCCAGGTCCTAGGAGGTTAAAGCTAAAATTTTACAGGACTCGTTCTATATGTTTAACCTTTGTACCATAAAATGTGTGTAAAATATGCAAATCTGAGACGATCAAACAGAAGACCAGTGTTGATTTGAGAAGAAATGACGCAAAAATAAAAGAATCTAATTTTCGGCAGTTTTTAAGGGATACAAATTACAGACTAAAATTGTGTTATTCAAAAGAAAAGCTCAGAAGTGCATAATTTAGAATAGTCACATATAGAGTAAGTGATGCATTCATAAGATGAAGAAAATCTGCGGTTTCCCATGTTGAATGTCAATCTCATTTCTCCTCTTTTAGGTTGATGGTCTTGCTGCTCTCATCTTGTGCTCTGGAGTTGTTGTGGCAGCGGGCAACGAGCCTTTCAGATTAGCAAACTATAGTTTTCACAGAACAGGCCAGATGGCACAGGCCATGTTCCTGGAAACTGCTGAACCATCAATGTTACAACCTAGAGCACGTAAGTGTTAGTTTACGCCACGGGGAAAAGGAAATATGTTATGTTTTGTTATTCTATTCAGTTACTCTCATACCTCTCTCATACGCTCTCTGTACGCAAGTTTGAATCTATACAATCTTTTCCTTGAAGTGTCAAATCTCTTAAAAAAGCACAGAGTAATCTCACGTTGTATCTTGTTTACTTTCATACCAAAACAATGGTATAAAATAAAAATGGTAGATTTTTTGTGGGTGTCCGGATTAATTTTCAAAAGAAAGATATGAGAGTGAAGCACATAAGCATGCTTATTATAATTTCTGCTATTCTATTCTTTGAAGCACTACTGCAAAATCTTTACGTGACCCAAGATCTTTTTTCTTTCTTTTTTGTCCCATCTCTTCTCCAAACATCTCTGAAAGCAGAGAAGAAAAAGTCTTTCTCGAGCGGACGAGGATCAAGGAACTTCTCCGTGTCATCAGAGCGATATATTGTGAACCAGATAAACGAGTCTCAAAATGGCCACCTGCATCCCCACAATGGAGTACTTGAAGCAGAAGCCAATCAGCATCACACATCTATGGAGATGTCCGGAACTGGCAGGGAAGATAACGTGAATCAAACCTGCGTCGTACCTCACGATGATGACATTGAAAAGTCTTTCCGCGTGAATCAAGATGGCAGCATGACTGTGGAGATGAAAGTTCGTCTGACCATTAAGGAGGAGGAGATGCTCCACTGGACAACCACACTCAGCCGCACCAGCCTTAGCAAGAGGGCAGCTTGTGCCTCAATTTCTGAGTCAGGCAACCGCTCCCCTGACTCGAACAATGTCATTCCCAAAGACTCCTCTAGTATCAGCGAGGAAGAAACGAAAGAGGAGAACTTTCCCTCCGCAGCTGGAAAAGGCGTCGGCTTTAATGATGAGCGAACATGTGAAGGATACACTTCAACAGCTACGAGAAAAGCAAAAAAAAGTGTCAAACGCACTCCCACACCTGGTCCTCGACATGTTAATAAAAAGGCGTCTATTGAGAGTGTGAAGAGGGTCACAGAGTCAGGGGTGCAAGAGAGCATGCTGGGACATTATTCCTATGTGGAAAGGACAGCCGATGGCGAAACAACGGAGGGATACTGCCTTGTCAAACACAGCAGCAGCAGCAGCAATAGACCCATCCCAAAACCTCGCAAAACAGCATCCGCAGGAATGAGCAACAAATGCACCCCCTCCTCCATCAGGTCATCAGGAGTTGCTGAGGTCCTTCAGATACAGAATAATGGGATGGAGTTTAGAGAGACTGTGATGCATATTTATGAGACCCAAGGCTGCTATGACAACTATTTGGCGAATCAGGAATATAGTGTAGATGGCGTTCCTTTACATGGCTCCCCTCCAGCACCACAAAGTAAACAGTCGACTGACTCAGGGCCTCATTCATCGAGTAATGATTGTGATATAGATTGTAGCTGGCAGCCACCCACTGCTGACTCACTGCAAAGGCAGAAAGAGGAGATGCTATCACTGTCATCAGAGCCAGTATCTCTGACACATGAGAATACAAACAATCTGTCTTCACCGAGTGAAAACGAAACCAAGAGAAACCTTCAAATTCTAGAGAGAGTAAAACTAGACAACACTCCAAAAAGCACGACGAAGAAAAAGATGACTACATCTGCCAGGAGCCAGAAGAGTTCAACTTCAACAAGTAACACGGATAAAAAACCGAAGGAAAGCCTAATCAGCCCCTCAAAAGATAGCAAGCATTCATCTGCTGACAAGCTAAGCAGTAAGGTCAGTGTGGGGAAAAGGAGTGTGAATTCTTCTGAAAGTGCTAGAAGTGGTCAAAAGAGTAAAGGAGCAGAAAAGAAAGCAGAAAGTCTCCAATCTAAGAAATCCAATAAAGGTGAAAAAACACCAACAAAGAGCTCAGCCTCATTAGTTAGAACAGCACCACAGAGACAAAACACAAGCAAAGAAGCTGCTAGCGATATTGGCCACAATGTAAATACTCCAACTGGAAGGCCACAAATGAAAAAGAACATGTCAGACATTTTGCAACCCAACAAATCTCTTACTAAAAAGACAACTAGCAAGCCAAAATCCATGCCTGAAAGCGGAATATCACCAACAAAACCGCTTGTTTCGATGCCTTCTCTCGATCCTTCACCCTCCGAGATCCACCAATATGTTGAGAACTGGTTGGAGAAAGTCACCCCAGACCAAGTGCCATATCCAGAGGAGGTGATCACAGAGGAAACACAACCTCGAACAAAGGTTATATTTCAGATAGGCGGAGATTCTGAATCAGATGAAAAAAATGAATGCCATACTAATTTTGATGAAAATAACCCATCCTCCAATGATGTTATAAAGGGATCATCATCTTGTCTATCAGTTCCTCTTAGCCACCAAGAACTAACAACAGTACAAGGTTTAAGTGTTTCTATGCCAAATGTCAGAGCTGACCTTGAACATCAGGAGAACAGACTGAGGCCACACAAATCTGCAGAGGCCATCTGTCCAGCTGGCGATGAAACATCTTCATCATCTAACTTTTTGAGTCCCAAAGCAAAGATAAAGCCTGCCCTGCAACAACTCTGTTCATCTATTCAGTGCATCAGAAGAGCCTCTGACACCAACGTGGCATCCAACCTTGAAAAATCTAACAGCCTTCCCGATTTCCCGACACAAGTAGCCTCGGTGTTTGGCTCGTCGTGTAAAGCCTTTGTGTCATTCTTGTCAGTGATGACTCTGAGAGATCACCTCATAGACTCCACACCACGAGAGGATAAAATATCAAGAACCAAGTCAGAGGCGATGCTAATGATGGAGTCCCTGCAGAAGATTTCGGCCATCGAGGACGAGGAAGAGCAGAGAGCAAGTCTGACTGATTTGCAAAGCAGAGCATCTTCTCGTTTAAGACAGAGCTGGAAGGATTTCCAGATTCTGAGGGAAAGGCTTGAAAGTGAACCCCTTTCTCCCAAAGTGTCAGAAACGGAGTTTGCGCTCGATGTCGTCTCTGAAGGCGGCGATGCATTTGAGGAACAGCATTCGGGCATTGATGAGCTGATGGAGGAGCTGAGCATGCCGCAAGACCTCAGGGAACAGATCGCTTCGACAATCAGAACTTTTTACCCTGTGGAAGAGAGCCAGTGTGTAGAGACTGATCGAAACCAGTCAGACTCAGAGGAAGATTTAGAGCAATTTGTCCAGGACTGTAACGATGAAACAAAACAATCACTTGAGTCTGATAGTCGATGTGTAACTGAAGACACTCCTGATGCAGTTTATACCCAACAGGGACAAATAATAAGCAAGTCAGAGCAGCCTAGTGAAACCCAAGAATCACAGACAGAAAAAGAAGAGTTATTAAAAGACAAAGAAAATGAGACAAAAGAAGAAGAAAGTGGCAAAGAGGAACAATTAGAGGAGGAAAAAGAGGTAAAGATGAGGGAAGATGAAGATACAAAAGAGACAGAAGCTGATTGTTACACGACTGAAAAGGAAGATTGGGAAAGAGAGGAAGAGGAAGAAGAGGAGCAAGAAGTAAAATCAGGGGAAGTAAGTAGTGAAGAATCTATTGATAAAGAAGAGGGAGGGGCATATGAAGAGGAGGAGACAAAAGAAGAAGAAAGTAGAAAAGAGGAACAACTAGAGGAGAAAAGAGAGGTGAAGATTAAGGGGGATGGAGATACAGAAGATGAAAGTGAAGGGACTGAAAAGGAAGATGGAGAAAGGGAGGAAGACAGAGAAGAAGAGCCAGAGCAATCAGAATCAGACGAAGACAGTGGAGAGGGGTCTGTTGATAAGGAGGAAGCAGGGGTGGATGAAGAAGAGCAAGAGACAGATGAAGAGGAAACAACAGAGGAAGTAGATGAGGTGAACCAGCAATATAGAGATAGAACAGACACAGAGGCCGATAGTGAAGGGACTGAAAAAGAAAATAGGGGAAGAGGGGAAGATGGAGAAGAAAAGCCAGAGCAATCAGAATCAGAGGAAGTGAGTGATGAGCAATCTCTTGACAAGAAAGGAGCAGGGGCAGATGAAGAGGAGGAAGAGATGACACTGGATGAAAGAGAGCTGGGGGATGAATTAGGAGAAGGAGAGGAAGAAGAGGCTGATGAGACAGATGAAGATTTCATGAATGAGGACCCAACTCAGTATAGTGCTGAAGAAACAGATGAGAGAGAGGGTGCTGGGGAGACAGAGGAGGAAGAGAAGATAAATGAGAAGGTTTACGAGGAAGGTGAGGAAAAAAGCAGTGATGGAGGGGAAAATGAGGAGAGGCATAAGGAGGAGAAAGAAGATGAAGGTGACAATGTGGAAGACACAAATAAAGGGGGTGGAGTAGAAAATGTAACTGTAGAATTAGAGCAGGAGGAGGAAGAAAATGAAGAGTTACACCTTGTTACAGGTGATGTAGAGCAGGAACTACTGGAAGGTACTGAGGTATCTGACGATGAGGAAAAGAAAATTGGGGATGGTATTGAGGCAGATGAGGAAAAGGAGGTGGAAGCAGAAATAAATGCAGTTACTGCAACAGATGCAGAGGAAAGTGTTAGTGAAAATGCAGATGATGACAAGGAAATGGAAGAATTTAATGAAGATAGAAATGAGCTAGAAGTTGAGGATGAAAAGGAAACACAGCAAATAGAAGAGGTTAGTGAGGGAAACAATGAAGAGGAGGAGGAGGAGGTAGAAGAAGAGAGAGAACAAGATGAAGAACATGAGGACGAAGGTAGTGGAGATTCTGTGGTTAAAAATACAGAGGAAGAGAGAGCAAGGACAACAACAGACGAGGAAGAGGTAGACGGAGGAAGGGACATGGACACAGAAGATGAAAAGTATGATGAGGCTGAAGACAGGAGGAGAGAGCCGGAGCAAACAGAAAGTAGTCAGGAGGTAGAATCAGCAGAAGAGAGAGAATGTGGAGAAGAGTTAGAGAGGGATGAAAATCTGACAGCAGGTCAAACTGGAGATGAAGAGGAGAGGGAGGATGATGAAGAGAAGGAGCCACAAGAGAAATTAGACCAGGAAAAAAAACAAGGCACTGAATCCCCAAGCAAATACTCCTCTGAAGGTCAGTGTGCTGATGACAAAGGTAACGGAACAGACACGGTTACTGAAACAGATGAAGGAGGAGAGATGCTTACAGAAAGAAGTGGCAGTTTATCCCATCCAGGGGAAATATCCCAGGAATTACTCGACTTTGTGAACTATGCCCTCCGGTCTTCTTCGCTTGTATTCATATATGACAAGGATGGGAACATTAGGATAGAGCCTGATAATGCTCAGGTTGTAAAAACCAAGCAAAGTGTTCTTCTGAAAAGCAGAAAAGACAGTTCATACGGCTTAAAATGCCTGCCAAGCCCGAGCACCTCTGATTTATCTGATTACAGACCAGAAACATCAGAGAGCGGCAGCTATAGAACTCAGGAGTCTGTAGATATTATGTCAGAGAGTGGAGGAGAGGCTTCAGAGAAACCTTCTCCAGTCTATACACATTCAGCTGTCCAAGCTGAGAGGACAAGTCTGGAACTGGCTAGCTCAAAGTTGTCTGTTGCAAGTAACTCAGGAACCTTTCCTAGTTCCAGTGACTCAGGTACTAAAGCCTCAAGGGAGGATCTTTCTTACTTCAGTGCAGCAAGCTCATTAAAAGCAGATCGTGAAGCCACCACACAGGCTGCACAGTGCATTGCTTTTGTCTCACAAAACTCAGCAGATGGGGTTTTGATTGATCAAGGCAGATGGCTCCTAAAGGAGAACCATCTCATAAGAAAATCTCCTCCAGTCTCGCTGGGAATGTACAGCAATTTGGACAGCACATCCGTAGACACAGGTCAGGAGAACACTAGCGACGATTCCCCGCCCCATTTCAAAACTCAGCACAGTCCCCTTGCAGCCATATCCTCATCAGAACTCGAGGAGATGGCGAAGCCTCCGACTCCAAAGTGCATCTACTACAACCTGCCACATGGTAGCGACTCGGACCCCTTTTTAGATGCTTCAAGTATTAAAAGCAGTGATCGAGGCAGGGGTGTCAGGGTGTCACCTACTATTGACACATCAAAAACCTGGGCAAATAAAAATGGCAGTCAGTCTTCCTTTGCCTCAGTGGAGTTCAGAATCCCAGACAGAAAAGTTCATCCCGAGGGCGAGTCAGCGGTTGTGACACAGCCAAGTAGGACATCTGGTGGCGTAAGCCATGTACTACAAGCACAAGACTCAATGGACAATCTGCATTTGAGATGTGGCCAATACTGCCCCATACTATGATATTTAACAGAATCAGCTGCTAGTATCGACTGTGTTTGTTGTTTAATGTCATGCAACTTGAAAAATTTGTTGTTTTATCTGTAAATAATTATGAACCATGAGAGTTGTGCCTCTTATTTGCATTTGAATACAGAAAAAAAAGTCTAAATTTACGATATTTTTTGGTGCTGAATATCAGGTAGTGTTTGATAGGATAGAAGAATGTAAACAAATAAGACCTATTTTTCTTCTCCCTCAAATCTCTTGAAAATCATACGGGAAATAAAAAAAAGGTCATCTGTAATAGAAAGCAGATTTCATTGCTTGTATTATTTTACTGCTGGTTTGGGTTTGTCCAGAACATTTATTTCTAATAGCTGTTTGATCTTTTTAGATTAAAGAACTGATATACTTGCAAAAAATCTATAAGTTATAGGTTTCTTACCCAGGCTCATTTAATCAGCAGGATATATGCTACTTGTGAATTGGACTACTGTAGTACTGGCTTTTTACTTTAGGGTTTGGTTGAGGCCAAAAATAGAGTACAAAGGAGTGAAACTGATTGGGTGAACACAAAACTGATACTGTTGCTTTGGTTCTGTAATAATTGAATGCTTTCTTATTTTATCAACATATCAGGATGTGTTAAAGTGGTCATCAGGATAACCAATGATAGAAAAGTGAACATTTTCATTTCTGAGTTTTTACTTTTTTTTTATGTGCCTTCTTTTAACACCCACACTTTGGGTGTGAGTTGAAATGTTGTATGTACAGTCAATATTTAACTTACATTGCTATCTCTATTAAAGGTGTACCTGTGTTTAAAGCCTGTGTTTACATGTTCACACGTCCACAGTGGAGAAGTTTTGGAAACAGAAGAGATTATTTTTGGTGGTTTTATTAGCCTGTCTACCACTCTATCCATCGTCTAATCAATCACCCAGTCAGTCAATCAATCATCACATCAGTGAGTCAGTCCGTGAGTTTGTCAGCTTGATTTTTAAAAAGATTTAGGTGACAAACGCCTGTGGGATGTTATTCTCTCAAATAGAAAATTGACTAATGTAGCCCAGTTATAAGTAGGGGTTAAAAAAGGCAGCTCAAAAAATATACACTCATCCCTGTCTCCTCAAAATACTTTCAGGGTTGAGTTATAAAATAGTGAAAATAATCCTATTTGTGTTGAGTGCCTAGAAGCATCTCTGGGCTCTGGTGGTATTTGACTTTGGTTACAACTAAGTGAAACGTGAATTTTAAATGAGCCGTAGGCTTACATTACTCCGTTTATCCTCTAAACTATTAAAAGATGTACTTTAATAGACTGATTTTGGATACAAAATTGTTATCTACTGGTTGTTGTTTTAAGTCTCTGTTTTAGTCCGTGTACACTATTTGAGTCTCACTCATCCTCGGGCAGGTGAAGGTGCAGAGGAGAGTGCGAGTCATCTGCAGCTGTCACTCGGTGTCAGCAATGGCCCCCTGATGCAGTCAGGCATATGCAAGTGACACTTGATGTGATCGTCATTGACAGGCTAGCTTGTAATATGCGTGACCAGAGGGATCTTATCCTTGAAACAAGTCTGACCAGACGGCTGCAGGTGGTAATTTGAACAGGGATAATTCATTTCGACATTTACATGCTAAATATTTGACAGACTACACATGATGATTTTATGCTAATGTGAAGGGAGAATGCTGGGAAATCCTATTAGTGTGTGTGGGTGTTTCCGCTCCCTGTCCCTGTGCCTGACCCTTCCCTGCAATCACACACACATGGACACGCACATACACACACACACACACAAGCACAGAGTGAGACAAAGAAATACAGAGACAAAGAGAATGGGGGAGAGAGGTCTTTACAAAGTGACCATTCTGGATACTTTCCAAGGGTTTTGTCAGTCACTATGGAGATTTGGAAAATAGCCCTTGCACTTTAATTCCTCTGTTGTTACCATGGTTCAAAGGTATCCAGTGGAAGCGAAATGAGCACACATGCCTGCTCTATGTGTTTTGCTTACCATTGACAGAAAAGATCCAGCTTAAAAACAGCAGTAAAACATCGCAGTATCGCTAAAACTGATAATGTTCAGTACTGTGCAAAAGTCTTGAACACCCATTATTTTTTTATATGTTGCTTCTAATGGAGCCAGACTTTCTTTTAACTTTTAAAGTGTTCTTGGTGAATAGTTCTACAGGCATTGTGAAGGTCTTTCAAAGTTCTTGAGCCTGACCGTTTTCAGAGGACTTTTGGTTTTGTTTGTTCGGTTGTTAAGTCACTTAGGACTAAACTATAAATCACTCAAGCATAAAAAAAAGACCCTAAACTGGAGAAGTGACAGACAAAAAAATCTACACCAGATAAACAGTATCTGCTAAGTTATGTCCTGAAGAAGTAACTGAAAATTCCAGAACCTGACCTCACCTGATCCATCTACTGTTCGCCGAAGCCTCATCAGAAATGGACTCAGTGGAAAGGTGCATATCAGGAATCCATTCTGAAGGAAGGGAAACAGGGAAAAAAGGCTGAGGTATGCCTAATTATGCAAGAACTGCTATGAAAATCAGTATCAGGTCGGATGGAGTACTGACTATAAATTGGAAATGTCAACATTGAAGCAGTGTGGGATCATCTTGACAGAGAACGGAACAAACAGCAGTCAACATCCAAAGAAAAGGTTTGAATGTCCTTTAAAAAGCCTGGAGAAATATTCCTGAAGACTACTTAAAGACAAGACATACATATAAATGTCCTTGTTTAGGTGGTGTTTGATGTGATTTTTAACTCTCTAAGAATTAGCATTGACCACATGAATCCAGTTTTAAACAGGCTCTACTTTCCCCCACTGATGATAACCTGACTCTCACACTGACTTGACAAAAGCCCACAGAAGCCCCTGCCGTGGATTTACAGCCTTTCTTTCTCACGTTAAGATTTATGACTGTCTGCTCTCTGTGCATTAACTCATGTGCTGCAAATACTTTGTGCTCAGATTCTGCCTACAATTAATCTGAGCGGTCATGACCCGCAGAGATGCTGACCAATTTAAAAAGACCAAAGGAAAAAAAAGAGAGAGAGACTTTTTGCAATCTTCTCACCACAATAACTAATTTTCACAACCTTATAGCTGAACACATCACTTATGTCCTGTGAGAATCGATGAACAGTGCAGCCACTGTCTCCACTTTAGTTCTGCTAAATAATGTTGGGGATGATCACTATGGCTACTGGTGCGCACGGGTTTGTGATTCACCATCATGGGAGATAAAACAAAGGGTTCCTTTTTGCTTTTACCCTGCAGTTTTGAAGGGACCACACCCAGAAATAAGATTGAACTTATCTGTTGCCCTGCGCCATTACAGAGTGACTGACTCTGACTGATGTCGAGTCTTATTTGATTCTTTTTGTACGCCTCCTCTAATTAGCTCCCCCGCAGGGCTGTTGCTTTGGAGCAGAAAAGCGGAATCTCAGCAACAAAAATAAAAAGACCAAGCGATACATTCCCAAGAATGGGAGCTATTTGGCCCAAACTGTTGCACTGTCAAGCGCCGTGCTACACACAATAATTACGGCCTACTGTCTGCATTCTCTTGATGCAGTTAGGTGACAGATCAGCAATACACAATCCCTGCTCTGTTTGTGTCAATCCAGGCCTCCTCTGTCTCTCTCTGTGGCCAATACTGGCAGAGCGGGATCATAATGGGCCTGGGAGCAGGAATTTTCATGGCCCCCACCCTGTTTCTAAGTGAGCGTTGATCATGTGAATTTCCGTAGCTGCTTTTGGTAATGGGCTTCCACTGTTTTACTCAAACCATGGCCTCATGTTTGCATGCTCAAGCACCACAAACTGCTTCAGTTATTATGCTTTTGCCTATCACTTCTCCAGTTTCAAAAGTTTGGAATTGAACTTTTGAAGTTCTCTTTAGATTTTAATGTTTAATGTTAATTACTAAAACATCTGTGGGCCATATTGTACAAAATCTTCCTTGATACCTTTAACTGCATTTTGCCCTTTATGCTGGAAGTTAACTGGAAGTTTCCTTATCTGATTCGTCCTTGCATGTCTTTGGCAAATGCCCCTTTGTAAGATTTGATGCTTCTTTAAATCCCATGAAAAAAAGCAAAAATTTAAATGGCTCTCGATACAGATCTGACCACACACATAAACCTCATCAACTTTACAAAGATTTGTTTAAAAATAGAAAATACTTACACAATCTCACTTTTCAGGATAGGATTCAGTGACAGTCATCTTGTAACAACACAACATGAATGCTAACTTAAGAAATTTAAAAAAAACTGCTCCAAAACCCCCAAATCAGTATCAAAATTGACTTCAAAGCAGTTCACGTCTCATACTGTGATTTTATTGGATTTGTTTATATAATTGCACAAATAAAGAAAAGACAAATAATTATTAAACAGAAACGTGGGACTGCTTTCTTGCACAATAGCTTGCACAGGATGTTTCAAAAAATTTGAAACACCCTGTCTCAGAGTGATGCTGAAAAAATATTTCATGCATTTCTACTTTTCTATTGAGTAGTGTAATTTATTATTATCAGGCTATACTGTATACTGTCACCAACTCTTTCCTCATAGGGAGTCATCTGATTGGTGGGATTTTCTCTGTATTGTTGTAGGCTCTTTACCTTATAATATAAAGCACCTTGAGGTGAATGTGATTTCATGCTATAAATATGAATTGAATCGAATAAAAAAAATATTGACCCCTGATATTGCTGATAATATACATACATAAAGCTTTTCAGTGCCTTTCAGGTTATGCGCCAGAGTCATGTAAACATAGATTCAGATGATTCTTTCTCATTTATCTGCACACTCACTCACATTATTTTCTGCACATTCAAAATCAAAATCAAAAAGCAAACATTTTGTGTGTTCTGGCAATTTATTCAAAATGAGAGAGGTGAAATCCAATTTATACAATCACCATTTACTTCTTACTTGATTAACACGCTTTTGGGCACAAACGTCGACTAGAACATCTGTGCAAAGTCTTAACAAATATGGCACAGATAAGGACTATGAGAATAAACCAAACGCTTTAAACAGTCAATCTGCTTAGGCAAAGCCAGGCTATAATTTGAAGTTTGCGTCACAAAGATCAAACAAGCTCACCGAGTAGCTGGGTTTATTACTGCACAGTCATATCTCAGGGGCTGCACGCCAGCTTCAGATAACCGCAGTCACCCTCACCCGCAAGCCAAAAATCTGAAAGTCTCCCTGAAAGAGATATTTGTGCATTCAGTCTTATCTAGTGAAAAAAAAGTCACTAAAACCAAT